AATGGGAAACGTGAGGGTGGGCATTGCACAGGCACTTTAATGTAGGCCCCTCTCATACGTAAAAGTTAATAAGCAAATGTATGCTTTAATCTTAGCTAGTACTGTAAAATCTGTATTAGAAGCTGCGACTTCTATTAAAATGGTAGAATGCAACAGAGAGATACGGCTTCTATTAGAGCATCTACATTTATGAGAAATAATGAATTTTTGATTCTCAATTATTCAAAAAGTTTGGGTGCGACTTCTATTAGAGATGCGACTTCTAATACAGATTTTACGGTACTAGAGTGTAACCTGAACACATGTGATGTCACTAACGTAAATAAAGTGGCTTAAAGTAATCTAATAAACTGGTAACAATGTATCAAACATGGTTATTGTCTTACCTCAAATGGAAAACAATGGCATCACTGATGAACTGATTAAGGGCACTCTTTGAAATGAGATATTTTTGTCTAGAATTTAAGATGACTGAGTAGTAGCTAATCAAATGTTTTTGCCATACCTGAACCTGATCTTATTTATGCTCAATGTTTCAGATTTTCCGGGATCAAGCCATTGATGGAGAAACGTTGCCACTTCTAACTGAAGAACATTTACTGAATAACTTTGGACTCAAACTTGGACCAGCGCTGAAAATTAGATTGCATGTTGCTCGGAGACAGGGTGTTTGCCTCTATTGCCATGGCAACAAATATTATGATGAGTACAATCAACTGTAGACCGTGACAGTTTGATTCTGCTGAATTTCCGATGTATTGCCGTGACAACATGCATCTATGAACACGTGGGAGATTGAGATAGACGTGAACTTTGGACAGTTTTTTTTTTTTATAAAACAAAACAGGGTAAAAACCCATTATATTGATTATTTCACTAGACTAATGGTTTAAGGATCTTTCATTCCAAAAGGGATTGCAAATCTTTAAGCAGGAACTGGTGTACAGTTTTTCCATTGTTTTCTACAACTATGTTAACCCATCTCTGCAGTCACTTTATACAGATCGATTATTATATCATAGAACTTTTTATTTTAGAACTAACATTCCAGAACTGCAACAAAAAGCATTGTTACAGAACTGTATGTGGAGTGCTATCAACTGCCATTTACCAATCAGATTATATATTGTTGTGTTGTTCTTGTTTAGATTTATTTGAAATAATGTTTATGTACAATTTCAACATCAATGTATAGTACCCAATAAAATTTCATAATTTTTCTTGTTTTGGGTAAAAAAAAAAAGTATTACTGTAAAATCTGTATTAAAAGCCGCGGCTTCTAATAAAATGGTACAATGCAACAGAGGGGATGCGGCTTCTATTACAGAATCTACACATATGAGAAATGATGAATTGTTCAAAAAGAATGGGTGCGGCTTCTATTAGGGATGCGACTTCTAATACAGATTTTACGGTAGTAGCAATCAAGTGCATCATTTAATGTTTTGTATTGGGAGGGGGGGGGATTTTATAAGTGGGATGGGTTTCTCACAATTTTCATGAAAAACGTTTATGTGCATTGATTTTGGAAAACAAGTTGACTAGAAACTTTTTTTCTCTGGGCTCAGAAAGATTTCTTTATTGAAAGATGAAATATTTTGTAAATATAGGAAGCAATAACGTACATGCTTTGCGGTAGTTGTTTAAATGCTACTGGCATAAGGTTAAAATAATTGACTTTAAAACTTGGTACATTTATATATCCCAAGTTAAATTCCTTGAGTCTTTTTTTTTTTTTTATAAATAAATAATCATAGTTTTATGGAACTAATTGTATCACGTCTGGCAGTAATGTTCGATAATGTTGTCAGTTACTGTTTGCAACAGGGTATTTGTACAAACTTCATCAGCAACATTATGGTATATAAATAGTGTATGTATTTACATGAAATACAATTGCTGTGTGTATAGTTAAAATAATTCATATGTTAATGATCCAGCATACAGTAAATGTAATACTATGTGCGCCTCTAATAGAACAAATACGGTAACAAATAACAACTGTTCATAGATCTATGTTGATTCAGACAGTGAGACTAAAATACACATACCCTACTTCTCACTTAAAGCGGAGAGCCAGATGGCCAGTGTATTTTCATTTTCAGCGTGCACTGTGCATTATGACTGAATTTGCGCACATTCACAGGTTTAAAGCAAAACCTAAAGGACAAAAAATAAAGTTGTAGTTGTGTTTCTCATCCTTGTGCTTTAGATTAATACCTCAAACAATTTTAATTCCATGTACCATTGTGCTATATATGGAAAACGGGAAAATGTTTGTTTTCTGTTTCAGAGGATGTTTTAAAGCGTGGCAGTTGTCGTGTTTACGCATGTGCGACATTTGTGTTGATAAACATTGATTTTTCCACAATCTAATGCGCTCTTCTAATGAAAATCATAAGCATGAGGTTTGACCTGGGCGCGACTTACACTGATTACTACCGGCGACTCTTTCTATACCTCCCAACCACCTAAAAATACCTAATTGAAGCTTGGTAACGTCCCAGTTTGTACTCTTTGATCTGCGCAACAGTCAAAAGTAGTCATCTTTGTTTATACGAGACCCATATATCTCGCGCTTGCGTGGCGCGATGACTACCACCTTTTAATTGTATCAAAATTGCACATGCATCATCTTGTGGTATTGAATAATCTTAATTCCTTTTTTTCTTGGATGGAAAGCAAAACTTGTTTTTTGGTCTTACCAACAGATGGTTTATCATTCCTTCTAAGATGGAAAATAATAATAAATGGTGCTATTTTGTAAATTGGTGTACAGTTAAAAGAATCAGATTAATAATGAGCACAGTGCATATTTTTGGACCAATATGAATCCTTTCAATTATAAGCAAACATTGCTTCAGTTGCACCGTTTAATTATATTAACATGGCTGCCATTACATTCTTATTTTTTTCTTCAAGTTTTATGAATATTTCAAAAGTTATTTTCCTTTAAAGCTACTTTGGTTTCATACGAGGTAGGTATGGTTTGAACCAAGTATATTTTTGTATAACTTGTCCTGTGATCGAAAAGCATGTTAGCTAGTTCAGTTTTGCAATATTATTTTGCAAGACTTGTACAGATGGAAATACATGCAATTGTTTCTGGTATATTGGATTTTTTGTTATAACTTAATAGTTCAGTTTTGAAAAAAAGAATCCCAATAAACATAGTTTACAGGAAATTGTGTTGTCTCCATTATTTGAATTTTGTATGGATAATGTAATTTTGTAAGATAATGCTAAGTTTGTCTGCCCCCCCCCCAAGTTACATTCCCACTCTGTATTATATGAGGAACTCCCATTGATAACACCTTGATATGATAAAATCAGTTTGGTATGGCAACAAATCCGGAAATATCAGCACTGAAACTAACGCTGCACTGAAGGTCATTGTTTCTATCGCATTTCATTGTGCACTCAGCCACTTTAAAGCGGGGAAGTCATCACCTGCGCATGTGTCAGATGGCCATAGCGTGTCATTGTTTACAAACAAGTGTTTACCCATGAGCCTTTTCATTTTTAGCATGTGTTGTTATTGTCACTTGGGACGACCCTCCCGCTTTAATGTTAAAATGGATCAAATTCAAGCATTTCTGTCATCACACTCCCAGCTACTGTCCATCTTGAGCTCATTTTGAACAAGACCATGTTTTTTTCAGTTCCGCTGTGGACACTTTCGCGCAGACCTAATCATGTTACTTAATTGTCCAGTCGATGTCCACATCAACTTTAACTTCTTGAAAAGCGCAAGTCTGATTGCTTCGATACTTGGTGTATATGTATCTTGAGAGGATCTCACTTAGATTTGTTCATTTCATGATGAAATCTTTAATTCTATAATTTTGATATTTTCGACTTCTTGTGGGAAAACCGCAAGGTTGATTGCTTTGATACTATACATATAGGTACCTCCTCTCAGATTTGTTCATTTCATGATATCTGGAATCCTTTATTTCAACCTAGAGACTGCTTGTTCAGACAAGATTCAAAATTCACGAGTCATGTCTTTGACTTGTATTGACTAATTGCAATCAAACTTCACAACATTTGGTTCACGTTTTGATTCAAAATGGCAGACTCATTTTGTTTTTGTTTACTATTAAACCAACAGGGACTCTGTCATGTTCTATATCCTACAAAGTGAGAATGCTACTTTAAACTGAAAACAAAACAATCAGTTTCTATAAATTTAAAGTAATACTCATACAGAGTTTGAAACATTCAAAATTTTGTTCATCACCCCACGAGATGGAATAAAATTGGCAAGCATCTCTGAAACCGTTGTACATGTATTGAAAATAATGATCCCCCTGTATTAACATATTGATTTTACGAAAAGCAATTCGGGTTTTCTTGACGACTCCAAGAAAAAATAAAGATGGAATAAAATTGGCAAGCATCTCTGAAACTGTTGTACATGTATTGAAAATAATGATCCCCCTGTATTAACATATTGATTTATTTTAACAAGAGCAATTCGGGTTTTCTTGACGAGTCCAAGAATAAACATTTAATTTTGTAGCAGTAACTGTAAAGAAGAAGAGTCAGTGATTTTCACAACATTTTGTTCAAAGTGCCACCAAATCATCAACATTTTTATGAGGTACTGTGGAATACTTTATTTTCGCTGAAAAGGCTTTTTGGGCGTTTTGCTTGTTATTTATTTTCACTGATTTTTGATGAGATTAATGTAAAATATAGGAAAAAATGTATATTCACCGAATTTTATTTTCACAGAATCATCCCTTCAGCGAAAATAAATTCCAAGCGAAAATAAAGTATTCTACAGTATTGCATTTCAACTGGTTGGATCAAACCATTTTGAAGCTGACCAAGAAATGTTAGCGATTCTAAGGCTGGAATTTTGCACAACAAAATATATCTTAATTCAATACTATATTTATTGATCACACAGAAAATAAATAAAATGGTGTCAAATGAAATATTTTATTCATTCTACTAATCACAAATTTAGACATAATAAAAAAAGATTTAGACATATTCAGTCATTTTAATCCTCCTCATCATCATCATCATCATCGTCGTCGTCGTCATCGTTATCATCATCATCATCGTCATTTTCTACTTCTTCTTCAGAAGATGAGAGTTCAAACTCTTCCACAATGTCCTCTTCATCGTCTACATCACCCTTCCCAAGTTTATGTTTCTTCTGTAATTGCTCCTTAGTTTCTTTCACTACAATCTCATCAACCTCCTCTTCATCATCATCCTCATTCTCATCATCCGTATTGTCGTCATCATCACTTTCACTAACTTCATCTTGTACTGCCACTCTTTTCTCTTTCTTCCTGTCCATGCTCATTTTCTTATCACCCGGATCAAAGAATGTGTCAATATCACTGTCATCATCCGATGAAACAAACAGTCCAGTCATTTCCTTTTTATCTTTTTCTTTCTTTTTCTTTCTTTCTATAACTACATGATCATCAAACTGCGAAGAAAAGAGAAGATTTTAATTTTTAACACTGTCAGCACCTCTCTATCCTTCCTTGCTTTTTGTATGTTGAGGACAGTTAAAGCGCGGTGTATTTATGTAAATAGACAATATATTTTACACGCATTGTATACGCCGCAATAAGTCCCATATCGAACAGGACGTGGCGTGGCGACTGCCGCCCTTTAAATTTGCATGTACATGTATTGTAGTTCTGGTATTACACTGAAACATGGCACTATCATCATCCAAAATGCAGTCAGCTAATCTAGGCTATCCCTATGAATCCGTGCATGATTGTGAATAGAAAAGCTGTATTTGACTTCAGTTAAATTGAATGATTTGAGTGGGAGGAAGTACCAGTGGGCTGGATCCATCAATCAGCGGTCATGACAACAACACATATTAATTTCAAATTTGATCTTGCCACATTATATCACGTCTTAGCTTAACTGACTTCACGTTTGATTACCCATTGATACGAGTCACTTGACTTTGTGCTCCATTTACCATGGAAACGCACCACAGAATTTCATTTGGTTGACAGTAAATACAAGTTTATAGTTGGAATTCTGCCAAGGTATTATGGTGAGGCAATGGCCGAATAAATGATTCTTGGCTCGCAAAGATGTGTATATATTCAGGGTTTCACAAATGTATTTAATAGCAGGCCATCATCCTGTAACAACAGGCCAAAAATAAAATAAAAAGGCTCTCAGCAGTGCGAAGTGCTGCAGCGAGACCGACATAGGGGTCGAGGGGCAGAGAGTAGACGGCCAATTTGGGCTTGTAGCAGGCCATATGGCCGGTGGCCAGCTCTTAATGAAACTACTGATATTACATGTACACCAAAACTTAATACGAGTGTTCAACTTCCAATTAGTGTTATCTTCAAAGATTATAGTTCTGGTATAAAATGAAATAAGAGTTTTTCTGAAAATTTCCTATTTTTCATGGAAAGGGTGGAATCCAGTTTGAATTTAATTCAAATTTGATGTGATTAAGCCAATAAATTGATGGTTTGACAGTCACTAATATGTGTGACATAACATGCCTTTAGATAATTTTGAAGTTGCCATCTTGTTGGCAGCCATCTTTGATTTCAGTAAAATGACTTTGCAAATAAGGTAATGGACTACTTGTGAATACCTGAGCTACAGGTAATCGCAAATTATTCGGCTCAAAAAGAGTTTAGAATTAGTCATATTGATTTTTTTATTGAAAAATATTTTAAAATTAATCTCATGTGAACAAATAAAAGTTCAACAAACCTAAACATTTCACTGGCAAACCTGTGAATTTACAAACACGGGGAATATGCCCAAAATTAAATACACTTCCCGTACAAGTAATGATTTACTGACAGCTTACCTTATTTTTACTAGCATGTTTTAGTTCACGTTCTCGTAGATTCTTGTAAGTCTTATACAAGTTACCAATAGGAGTGCCTTCTTGTTTTGACCTGATTTCCCATGATACCTTGCAAAACAAATATACAAACTTAACCTTTAGAAGAAGTAGAAAAAAAAGCTTTGTTGTTTTACAAACCTACTCAATTCAGTGAACATTTGATAAAGAATGACAATTGTGGTCATCTTAGAGGCAGATGTTCATCGAGTCGTGTCTTATTCAATATTTTATAAATTACTGATTGATAAGATGGGGTATGCAAGTGTATGGTACGCTAATCAGTTCTCATGAAGTCATACAAATTTAGGGATGATCACAAAATCTCAAGACGAATAAAAATGTTTCAGTCTATGAAGTTTCAGTCAGTTTTCATGCAAGAATGAAAGGGAAGGGGTGTAATTTCTAGGTTGCACAATTTATTTGTTGGTTTCCCTGGTTACCAGCAATGAGCTATCAAACCTTTACGTGGCAAAAATCGACTTCTCCTATGCAGACGAAATTGGTAAGTTTTCACACCAGAGCAACCATTTTTAGGATTTAGCTGTCCCATGGTAAAAAGGGTTGCCCATGGCAACAGGGCACCAACAATTTTGAGCCCTAAATGTACTTCTCGTGATCAATATCCTCTTCATCTCATCTGATCTATTTCCTATAATTCAAATCGTAGTGTTTTTAAATACTGTAGAATACTTTATTTTAGCTGGAATTAGTTTTCCCTGATAAGACTTTTTGGATGTTTTGAATGGAATTTATTTTCACTGATTTTTGACAGTTGAATGTAAAATATAGAAAAAAAGGTATATTCACTCAGATTTTATTTTTACTGAATCACTCCGTCGGCAAAAATAGCGAAAATTAATTCCAAGCACAAATAAAGTATTTTACAGTATGTGCCTTACTAGAATCCATGACACCAGAGATCAGAGCCAATGAATTAGATTACAAAACAAAAGATTGAATGGAATTCTGGGAAATAGTCAAAATCACAAAAATTTTAACTGGGAAACAAATTTTAAACAATAAAAGCAAAAAAACTTCTAATATAATCTTACCACAGCAGCATCATCACTCAGATTAATTGTTGTTGCATCTCTTCTTTTACTGATAACAGCACAATTATCCTGTATCTTGTCGAGCAGCGACTTCATTTGGCGACAATAATTAACAATTTTACATTTCTTCAGAAACGTTTTCAGCTATAAAGAATAAATTGAGGCAAGATGTTAATCTATCGTAACCAGTTCAAACCTATGATAACCACTTATAACATGCCAAAACCAGTTATAATATTTCAGTCAGTTATAATCTATCACAAGCCATGCATGGCACAGTCCCAGTTAGTTATCAAATTTAAGATATATAGTTTTGTTTATAGTAATATAGCTGGAATATAACCATGTCAGGAATATGATTTTTTAACATTAAAATGATTGACATTTGTATCTGATCGTCAAAAAAGTACTTGTCCATATTGAGGGATATTGCTCTGGAACAGCATTCAAAATCAGCCATTTTAAATACATGTATATATATAACATGATGTATAACTAATATATGAAATTTTTAAAACTAGCGCCGAAGGCGCATATTAGTTTTTATGTTTATATAAGAGATTGCATACTTACCTTTGGTTAATGAAATTTTAATTTCATAAACAAATGGGATAATTGCCAATTATCATATAATACTGGTTAAATAAAATCGAAATAACAGTGGATAGCTCCCGTAGGGGGCGTCCTTCCCCTGTCATCTGATTTGCATACTTCCAGATCTTTTTGACCACGATATTGATTCTGGGGTGGTTTTGGGT